TATCTCCTTTTGTTTTTCATGAAAAACATCAAATGGGTTTGGAACAACATTTAGTTATCTAAAACTAAAACAAACTCAAATTAAAACCATTAATAAAAAAACATTCTTTGTTACTTAAAATAATATAAATGTTGAAGTAAAATAAACTGAAATATAATATTAAATTGAAAAAACGTTTTATTTCAGCTAGTTGCCAAAGTAACATTTCTCATTTTAATTAGTTTAACTTGATGTACTAAAATGACTAAAGCTAAAACAGAAATAAAATATATATAAACTAAAAACAACAGAAGCACTCAACAAAATTACTAAAACTAACTTGAGCTAAAATTAAAAAAGAAAATATAAAAATAAATAAACATATTAGTATAGTGTGTGTATATATATATATATATGTTAGTTAGTTAGTTAGTTTGTTATATTATATAAATTGCTAAAAATGAAAGAAATTACTGAAACTTCAACTATAATTGAAATTTAAAAAAATGTAAAAAATTAAAACTGATTCAAAATAATACTAAAAACTATAAGTGGTTCTAAAATCACACTGCAGCTGAGGGTGAGTGAATGATTTGTATTTTTGTGAGCTCTGTTTATCTGCAGAATAAGCATCCGCAGCTCCTGCTGCTCCGGCTCTTTCTCTTTGCCTGTGTGTTTTTGTCCCTCTGTGTTTCTCTGGAGGGTGTTTGTGAAAGGACTGCGGGTAAGTGACCTGTTTAATCTGACGTGTCCAGACTTCTGCCCCGAGACCAGAGCCAGTCATTCCAGCACCAGGGAGAGCCGGTTTGTTTTGCGTGCGAGCGCTGAAACGGGTCACCTTGGCATGCGAAACCCGGCGACTTTTGAAGAAACTTTTCTGCTGAGCACTTTGGGAATATGTCTGCAGATCAAAGTCTCTCTGGTTTCCTCTCGCGCTCTCATCATTTCCTCTGCTCCGTGTAACGCAAGCAGCAGCATTACATCTAATCAGGCTTTATTTCTCAGGGGTGACTTTGTATCGTCACACATAAAGCATGCCACATTTTAATGCAGTTAAACGCTACACGAGACATCTGCATCAAACATTTATGAGAAACCTGGGGCATGCAGGTCAAGCATTTATTTATGGTTAGTGCATGAAAATCCACTGAGATGCAGTAAGCTCAAGCTGAGAAAAAAAAATCTTACTTAGTCTTCTTTCTAGTACAAATATTTAAACAATCAGAGCAAGATACATTTACTTGAGAAGCAAAATAACTTGAGATATTGCTGCTAAATTACTATAAGATAAGTCTTCTTTCTGAAAAACTTATCAAAATTAAGTGAGTTTATTATTAAAACAAAAAAATATCTGGCAATCAGGTCAGAAAAATAAACTTAATTCAAATTGGAAACAAGATTATTTTTCTGACCCCTTTGGCAGATATTTTTTCTTGTTATAATCAAAAATTAGTACTTTTGTATTGCTTTCCAGTAAAAATATCTTAAATTCCTATACATAAACTAAATAAAATGACCATTATGTCTATCAGATATTAAGTGTTGTTGTTTTTTATCTGCAATAAATAAATGCATTTATGTTTAAAACAAGAAAAAAATCTCTTAGGGTGGTAAAATAAAATAAAATAAATAAATTAATTAAATTAAATAAATACTGAATTCAGTGGTAAATCAGGATTATTTTTCTCACCCGCACTGACAAATATTATTTCTTGTTTTAAGCAAAAACCAGCTTAATTTTGATATCTTTTAAAGGAAAGATAACTTAATATTTAAGTATTTAAGTTAGATATTTGTACTGGAAAACAAGACAAAGATACTGAATACATATATTTTTCTTGTTTTTTTTATTTCTTTTTTCTTTATTATTTCTTGATTGATGAAGATACTTTTACTTAAGAAATAAAATGGCTATTATGTCTCTTACTTTTTATGCCTTGTTTTCTGAAAAATTATACCAAAATTAAATGGCTTTATGCTTAAAACGACAAAAAGATCTATCAGTGTGGTTAAAACTAAATAAATAAATGTATCAAAATTAAGTGAGTTTATGATTAAAACAAGAAAAAAAATATCTTCCAATAAAATGTTTTCATGTTTTAAGCAAAAACTTGCTTGGTCTTGATAAATTAATGTTGATTGTATTTAGATATTGGTACTGGAAAACAAGACAAAAAAATACTGAATAAGAAGATCATTTTGTGCAGTGAAATGTTTTAAATTTTAATAAAATGCTCCAGGTTTTTACATTCGTCTACCTTAAACCGCTACTAGCTAATAGTAGCAGTTACTAGATTACGTAATGAAGAATTCAGCACAAAAGCATGTATTTTTCATCATTTAGCAGCAGAAGCAGCAGTGTTGGTGGTGTTATGAGCACACAGGTGCACGCAGACAGATGCTGATAAGAGTGAGCTATTGTCTTCAGCTGCGGCCGCTGCCTCCTTGTTAAAAAAAACATTTGCATGCATCTTGAAATGGTGATAAATGGCTTGAGTGAGCAGTGCCAGGTTGAGCTACTTGATGCTAATGCTGCAGCTCTCGTTCAGATTCTGTTGAGCGTCCTACCTTGAAAGCATCATTGGCAATGCAGCGTTCCACATAGCAGGCAGCTAAATGCTTTGTCTTGGCCATTTTGGCAGCGCTGCAATGCCCGAATGCATTGTGATTAGCTCAGTATATTATTCAACAAAAGATTGATACACAGAAATGTTTCTTCCAATTAAAAATCAACTGTTTCACCCCGTATTTATCATTTCACCCAGTGTTCTAGGGTTATTTCGCCTGTTATTTCACTGCTAGCAAAATGAAAATGATGCCATCACTTATGGAAGCCTGTTTCTGCCATGAGAAAAATAAAAGGGTAATTGACTTTTGTCTCGCAATTCTCGGTTTATATCTCACAATTCTTACTACTTTTTTTTTTTTGCAATTCTGAGCAGCTTTTCTCAGAACTGTGAGATAAAATGTCGCAATTATCTTTTTTTTATTCTATGGTATGGGGGGGGGGGGGGAAAAATTGGGGGGGGAA